CACTAATTGTTCCCACATGATGCAGAATGTAACTTAACAGCCCCTTTTGTCTAGCAGACTCTCTTATGTCTCCTCTTTCTTTTTCTCTGCACAGAGGTTTCTGTATTAAGTTGCTTTGGATTTTAAATTAAATGTCTGCAGTATGTTGGCTCTGAGATTCTGGAAACCACTGCACACATGTTCCCTGGAAGAAAAATCGAACAGTCCAATGTTTGCACATCCACACTGGTGTCGGCCTAATTGAGTCCTCTTTGGTACTGAGCTGGCTGCTACTCTGCCATATCCACACGCCGGTCCTGTACGTACAGCAAAAAGCAAAAAACAAGCAAACCAAACCCTCAGGGATACCCTTTTTAATTGCAGTGGAGGTGCTTCCTTGATCCGTTCATTGTCTTAAGCAAGTTCAATCCAGTGCATGTAAAAATACCTGGCTTCCTGCTGACCTTTTCCCGAAAGTCTGCATACTGAAGCTCTGTCCATCGAGAATGCTGCAGATTTCCTGCTGCTAAATGGTGCCATATTATCTCAGCTCCCACACTAGCAAATCAAGATGCAAGCCTTTGGCAGCTCAGAATCAACAAGCTATGATCAGTGTGGGTGCCGAGGGAAAGAAGGGCTTTGAATTTTTTGTAGCAATCAGTCTGTCTTCCTGTTGCTAGCATCCCTCTTAAAGAAGCAGAAAGACTGGGAGGAATTCGTTTTAGTGATTGCCAATGGTTCTATGTCCATGATAAAATCTCTAGGTTGCGACAGAGGCTAATAGAAGGTAGAGCTGAGACTGATTTTGTGTGACCAGCCTCACTTGTCTGCCCAGTGCTTCAATATTCCGTCACCGCAAAATGTAAACTTTGGGCTGGGTTTTGATGAGGATGAAGAGGGGCTCTGGTAAGAAAGTTTATGTGGACGGCCCTTTGTTTTGAGTATGTCTGGATGACCCAGTTTCTGTGATCATCGAGCAATCTTCTCTCAAATGCTGCTTCTTTGGCTTTCTATAGTATAGAGAGCATTCATTTACGCAAGGAGTTTTATTTGTTTTTATATTGGTGCATAATAAATATTCTTCCTGTGTTAGTGCAGTTAAATGAATACTTGGGTGTATTATAAAAACAGAATCTATTAAATTATCTGTAAAAGCAGGTGCAACACCGACAGACCCTTGTCGTCGGCAGGCAGGATCGAACTGAAGACTTCTGGAGCTTAGCGCATGAACCTGTACCACGGGAGTGGGCAAACTACGGCCCGCGGGCCGGATCCATCCCCTCAGGGCTTTGGATCTGGCCCGTGGTGCCACCGGCACCATGTCCCTGTGGCCCCTGGGCGGGGGGGCAGAGGGCTCCATGCGTTGCCCTTGCCTTCAGGCACCGCCCCTCGCAGCTCTGGTTGGCCGGGAATGGGGAACCACGGCCAATGGGAGCTTCGGGAGAGGTACCTGGAGGTGTGGCAAGGGCAGTGCACGCAGAGCCCTCCATCCCTCCTCCCCCAGGGGCCGCAGCTTCCGGGAGCAGCACGGGGCAGGGGACAGGGTAGGCGTGCAGGGAGCCTGCCCTGGCCCTGGTGCGTGCCACTGCCACCCTGGAGCCGCTTCAGGTAAGCGACGCCGGGCCGGAGCCCGAACCCCTCCTACACCCCGCCCCCCAACTCCCTGCCCTAAGCCCCCTGCCTGCCCCTCGCATCCCTCCTGCAGCCCAACCCCCTGCCCTGAGCCCCCCCTGCACCCCGCACCCTTCCTGCACCCCAATCCCTTGCTGTGAGCCTCCTGCCACACCCAGCACTCCTTCTGCACTCCTGCCCTGAGCCCCCTCCTGCACCCCACCCCCTTCCTTGAGCCCCCTCATGCACCCCACACCCTTCCTCTGCCCCAATCCCTTGCCCTGAGCCCCTTCCTGCACACCGCACCCTCTCCCACATCCCACACTCCCTCAAGCACACCAACCTCCTGCCCCCCGTCCCTGCATACAATTTCCCCACCCAGGTGTGGCCCTCGCCCCAAAAAGTTTGCCCACCCCTGCTCTACCACATGAAAGCCAATTGGCTCTTAGCTAAGGCTGTAGAGCAGACTCATTTAACTCTCTCTAAGTGGTCTCAGTGCCACTAGATGGGACACAACACTACACCCAGAAGGTTTCTGGGTTACATACCTCCCCTAGCTGAGGAAATGTGTCCTGAGCTTCAGAGTCTTCCCAGTTGAAACCCCAGAGGAGCCCCCACTTGTAATGCCGACAGACCCCAGTCGTTGGCGGGCAGGTTCGAACTGGGGACCTCTGGAGCTTAGTGCATGAGCCTCTACCTCATGAAAGTCAACTACCTCTTAGCTAAGGCTGTAGCCCAGACTCATTTCACACACCCAACACCACCCCACCCCACTCCACTCTACTAGATGGGACACAACACCACACCCAGAAGGTGTGTGTGTTACACAGGCTTGTTAAGGTCTCCCTTCAGTAGCACCCTTCCATTACTTACTTTTATTAATTAGTTTTAGAATGCAACAGTTTAAATCCTTGGAAAAGCCACAGGCTAGCGAGGTGGAGCTTGCTGGCTAATGGGGAAAAATCACAAATAATTATCTGATGAAAAAATTGCCAAAATCTGTACTGAATTTGAAGTGATTTTATTCAACTAACTCTGATAGAAAAAGAGAAAATGATAGATGATGATGTTAATCCAACTCAGTGCAAGTTATGCTGTCATGACAAGTCTCTTGATCAGCTGCAAACACCCTATCTGTTTTCCAAGCACTGTTTGTCGGACAGGACATCATTAGGCATTATTTTCTTCTCCCTGACGTTGATGTAAATTGGGTGTAATTCCCTTGGTTTTGTGGAGATACACTGGTGTGAAATTGTTGAGAGGAGAATCAGGCCCAATATTTGCAAGGGAAGGTTAGGTGCAACCTCGTGTTGAAGGGAGAGAAGGTTGGCCCCACACCACAAATAAATGACCACAGTGGATTTTCTTCAGAGACATAAGCTTGGGCAAACCTGAATTTATGTTGCCATGTGTTTGCAGATAATTCCTCTAGATTTGTCAGTGAAAGCCTACGTATCCGTTCCAAAGAGATTCTGGTTTGACTTGGAAGGGTGGAAGAATATTGCCATGGTATTTAGCGATCTCTATTGTGATGCTCTCAATTGTGAAATATATGCATGTAAATCCAGGAATGGATAGATGCAACTTCTCTGTATTGGACACATCCTATCAACCTTGCTGCCACATTTCTTCCTGCAGAGTTGAATCAGAAACTCAGAAAACCCCAGTTTCTAACCAGTGCATATTTACAAGGTCTATATAATGTTTGCAGGCTTTACTAAACCATTTAATTATATACTGCGCATCAGTGTTTCCCAGGTATTCGATACATATGAATGGGACAGTGCCAATCCCTTCCCCTCATCCACATCGCCTCACGGCTAGTGTGTGTGTATGTTTAATATTAAATGTCTTGTGTTTTTCCTCGTAACCGTCACTTAGACTGGTTACATGCATGTGAAATCTGAAATATTTAAAGGGCTTCTGGTTCCCACTCTATCTTGGATTCTTCTGTGTCCCTCATTACCATAGTATCTGAGCATCTTTATTATATCTCCTCATAATGCGCCCCTGACGTACTATGGTGATATGCTCATTCTGTAGATGGGGAACTGAGGCACAGAGTGACAAGTGACTTGCCCAAGGTCTCACAGGAAGTGGAGCTGGGAATTGAGCTTGGGTCTCCCGAGTCCAAGGCTAGCACTGTAAACATTGTGTCATCCTTCCTGTCCACTCAAGCAGGATCTCACGCTGATCTTGGAAAATAACGATGTAGTATGTTTGGTCATTTCTTTAGCCACTTAAAACAAACACATATCCTATCGCTTTGTGAGACAGTTTTGAGATTCTTTTGGCCCAGGAGGCAATTAGAAAGCCGTATAACATTAGGGCTGTTTGTTGTATGTATCTGTATTATAGTAAGATTTAGCCAGGACATCAGAGCAGGATGCCTAATGCTTTTCCAGGGTGCCTAATGCTGATTTTTTTTACTTATGTGACTTTACCAGCTGGCTCTCCTGTGGCACTGGCCAGTTAAGAGGTGGCAGATGTCATAATCTAGTTCCAAACCCACCTTTCTGATGTTCTCTACATGTAGTGGAGGGAGCGCTGAAGAGTGATAAAATATTGCATCTTCTCTTTCTTCTCTCTGCTAAGGTCCACGGATCCATTACAATGGATATTTCAGTCTGCTTGCAGCTGGGGGACAGAACCAGATCTCTGGTGTCAGTCACTGGCAGCACCATAATGCCCTGCCCCCAGAAGTTCCCTGCGGTTGTCTCTGCCTCCCTGGCGGCTGCCCCAGCCCCCCCTGCTGCAGAACTTTACAAAGAGAAAGGCCAACCTTTTATTTCAAATGACCAACAGTTTGTCTGTCGTGTCTGATTCCCAGCCAAATCCCAGGTTGTTCCCCTCGGCTCCACCTCCCCGATTGAAGTATTTGCAGCAGCTGAGGCCCTGTCAGCTTCTGAGAGAGTTCCTCAGAGCTAGACCAAGAAAATCCAAAGGAAACAGGTGGACATTGGCACCCAGAGATGTGGTGGTGTCTCACTAAAGGGAATGTCCCATCCCCTACAGCAGGATAAATCATTGTGCTTTTTCCTCACAGTCTAGTTAACACAATCTGTAATTCAGGGAAGTAGAACTAAATTAATCAGGTGGTGGGGGCTGTCTCAAATGGTGGGCACTACTGGGGTGTGGGGAATTCCCTTTCTGCCAGAGACTGACAGGTCTTGTTCTGCCCCCAAGCCTCAAGTAGGCCAAAGTACCCATGGCAGTGGAGCTGTGGACCTTAGTGCTGGAAAGTGAAAATGGTCCTATAATCTTCAAGTCAGCACAGTGCCACTGGTGGGAATGTCCAGACAGGTCTCCGTGCACCAAGAGCACTATGCACTTAAAGCAGGAGCAGTGCACTCCCTAAAATGGCCTCACTGTTGACATTTACTTACTTGGCCTACTTTCTGCCCTTTCAGATAAATCGCGAAAGCTGGTGTTCAATAGAGCCATGTTCAGATCCTTCACTGCTGGAGCCGACGCAAACTCATGAATCTAGAGGTAAGTAGAATGCTGTGCACCCAATCCCTTTGTTCAAGGAGGTGACGCACCAGTCTTTTTCCTTACAATTAACCTTCTACCATGGAATTATCCTTCTTTCCTTCCCTTTCTCTCTCTCCTCTTTCCCTTCCCCATAAAATAAAAACATGCACAAATGGGAGAAAATGGCACATGTAATTATTAGTCCATTGTTCCAGTGCTTATATGACTGGTACTGAGACATCCAGCTACATAGCCCATCTCCTCATGATGCAGTTCTGTGTTAAAATATTTTATTCGCTCATTTGATTCATAAATAAAATTTAGAAGCGCATGGGTGTATAGATTATAGCCAAGACTTTGAAAATGGGTGCCCCAAATTAGATTCCTAAATCCATATTGAGACACCTAAATCAGTAGCCTGATCTTTCAAAAGTACGGAGCACCCAGCAGCCTCCATTGATTCCCAGGATTCATGGAGAAGGAAGGTGGTTCAGAGCCATCTTTCCCACCCCCGTCCCTGAGCTGTGCTGAGCTTACGGTCATTTATGCTGTTTAATATTTGCCCTTCCTTCCACGTGGATGGAAAAACTAGCCTGGCCTGTTTCAGGGTGCCTTGATATCCCAGATAAGAGGGAATATTTCCTGTCTTCTAATAGGTGTGTTTAAAACAGCATAAGTTGGAGGAGTTTATCTGCTCCCTTAATGGTGGCTTTGAACTGGGCTTTTCTTACAGTGGCCATGTCTTGCTTTGTTTTCATTAAAGAAATTACACTTGAGGGGTTGAGATGTGGAGAAGGAGGAGTAGTACCTTGTTTTCAGTGATGAGTTGGAAGATAAGGGTTAACTCTCCTGAGTGTACATTATTGGCTAACAGCAACACTCTGGTTAGTGTCAGGGCTGCCCAAAGGGGGGGGCAAGTGGGGCAATTTGCCCTGGGCCCCGCAGGGGCCCCCACGAGAATATACTATTCTATAGTATTGCACCTTTTTTTTATAGAAGGGTCCCCCAAAATTGCTTTGCCCCAGGCCCCCTGAATCCTCTGGGCAGCCTTGGTTAGTGCATTAACATTCTGCCTCTGCTTCCTGCTGAATAATGCACCTAGACGTGCACTGTCGTGTCATGATCAGATCCTGGAGTGAAGTAGCGAACTGTCTGGGTGATTCTGGGCATGCTGACCAAGCAACATGTTGAGTGAAGTATCCATTGCAAATGAGTATTATACGTAGGTCGGAGGATTTGTCACGGCATTTCTTTTTATCAGAAATCACAGAGCAATCAGGATAAATCTAGTAAAAATCATGGATTTAGTGACTGCTCCATGATTTTTATTTTATTTTTTTTAAACAAAGCCCTGACAAATGAACCACCCCAGCACTGCAACCCTGTTTCGGTCCAGGTGAGGAGGGGAGGTGGAGAGGGAGCTAGAGAGCAAGCCCACCCCAAACTCACCGCGGGCAGTGGTGGCTCCTGTGTCCCAGGGCTGGGCTTTGGGGTTGAGAGCGAGTCCATCCTACACTTACTCTGGGCAGCGGTGGCTCCTGTGGGATTGGGCCCAGCTCCTCGCTGTGGGTGTTGCAATTTGGCTCATGGAGTCACAGAGCCGCTGAGGTTTGGCCCAGCCACCCTTCTGTCATGACCCACTTAGAGCCTTCCTGCATGGAAGTCACAGCCAAACAGAGAAGTCAAAGTATCCGTGACTTGTTCAGCAAAGTGACAAACCTGCAGCCCTAACTGCAGTTTCGTGAGGTGGCAATTTAACTGTCCTGATGAATTCTCACAACAGTCCAGTGTCTGCCCAAGCTCATGCATTCCTTCATATGGGACTTCATCATCTGCTTCAAAAATCTGAGCTGTTTCTTAAGTGAAATTAGTTAAACTAGTTTTTTCATTGAGGATACAGCCTTGAGTCTTGCTCTCTATGCAAGACACACACAAAAAAAGACTTGTACAGTGGCCCCAAATGTGAAGTTCGGATCTGACTTTGGCCAAAGTGCTGTTAAGAGGGGGTGATGTGAGTAGTTAAGTGACCAGGGGTCTACCCAGGTTCTGCTTCTGGCCCCTTGTAATCAGGCGCGGATTCACCCCTGCGGCGCCTCCTGCTGGTCGTCTCGGAAATTAGCTCACCAGTTGTCAGAGCACCTTCTGCAGGCCAGGTGTCTAGCCTGTCATTGGCCCCCGTGTCCTTCCCGGACCCCGGTGCCCTGGGCTTGGGTGCTGCCCCCCTGGCAGTACCGCACTCTCTCTCTAGGTCTCCCCACCCAGGGGAACCCCACCCCCTATCCCCATGTTGTCTCAGTCGTGGCTACTGCCAGTCACCATCTAGCCCAGGGGTCTCAAACACGCGGCCCGTGGCGTTCTTTTGTGCGGCCTGCCAAGTTCCCCACGGCCCCCACCGCCTACCCTGTACCGCCGCGAGCCCCGCACCGCTCCCTGAAGCGGCTGAACTACTGTATGTCCCTGCAGCCCCGGGCACAGGGGTGGGAGGCGAGTAGAGGGCTCCGTGCTCTTGCAGCTCCCATTGGCCGGGAACTGGGAACCGCGGCCAATGGGAGCTTTGGGGGAGGTACCTGGAGGAGCAGAAAGAGCAGCACATGGTGCCGTTTCCCCTCCCCGCCCCCCCCCCCCCCCGGGACTCCGGCTGCTTCCTGGAGAGGTGCGGGGCCAGGGACAGGTGAGGCAGGCAGGAAGCCTGCCCTGGCCGCAGTGCGCGGCGCTGCCACCCCGGAGCCGCTCTAGGTAAGCGGCGCCGGGCCGGAGCCCATACCCCGCACCCCAACCCCCTGCCCTGAGCCCCCATCACATCCCACACCCCTCCTGCACCCCAACTCCCTGCCCTGAGCCCCCTGCCACACCCTGCACTCCTCACCCCTCCTACACCCCAACCCCCTGCCTGGAGCCCCTTGCCACACAGTGCACTACACCCCTCCCACACCCCAACTCTCTGCCCTGAGCCTCCTGCACCCCACACCCCAATTCCCTGCCGTACCCTGCACACCTGCACCTCAACTCCCTGCCCTGAGCCCCCACCACACCCCACACCCCTCCTGCACCCCTTGGGGGCAGGGAGGGGGCAGAGTTGGGGTGAGGACTTCAGGGAAGGGGTTGGAATGGGGGCAGGGAAGGGGCAAGAAGAGGCGGGGCAGGGGCGGGGCCTCATGGAAGGGGTGGAGTGGGGGCGGGGCCGGGGCAGCAAGTGGTGGGTGTCAGTGATGTGGCCCTTGGGCCAATGCACTAGTCCTCCGGCCCTCGGGGTCATCTGAGTTTGAGACCCCTGATCTAGCCCCTGCACCCTGGGGCGGACTGCAGTCTATCAGCCAATCATCACAAGCAACAAGGGGTTTGGACTGGCTGCCTTTACCCACCCTCAGGCTGCCCCTCTGCAACTCCAATACCTATGTGGGCCTAGGACCAGGCCCTGCAGCTTGGGGAGTTGCTGGCCTAGGGCTTCCCAGCCCTGCCTCACTCTAGGTCCCCGGTGAGTTCCCCAGCAGCCAGGCCTGTCTCTCTCTCCTGTCAGAGCGAGACTCCCCAGCTTCTGGCTGCCCTGACATTCTTATAAGGCCGAGTTGCTCTGTTTGGGGCGTGGCCCCAGCTGCAGCCACTTTGCCAATCAGCCGGGGTTTTGCTCCTTTCCCCAGCCCCAGCGGGTGTTCACTCCGCTACACCCCTATTAGATAAAATAAAACTCTTTTAAAACCTGGACTTTCCCTGGGGAAACACTTGACAGTAATCCACCATATCAGTGAGATAATAAGTATCACATATTCTAAACAGTCAATAATTCCACTTCTGAGTCCCCCCAGATTGATGGGCAGTAGCAAGCACCAATCCTTTCACTGCCTTCCTGTCTCTTATTACGTCAGTTTAAGCTCCTTGCATGCATTTTCAAAGTCCATCTGAATTTCACCCCCACTTACATGTCTCTTAGCTGCTTCTTTTGTCTCCTTTTAACCACCCTCAGCTGTATTTTCTTTCATATGTCACACTGTGCTTAGAACAGCCTAGCACTCCCAAGATGCACTCAGCCTCCTCTTTCAATTGCACTTCTTTCATGAGACCTTTCAACATGGCTTGCCATCTTCTGCATATGTGGTTTCCCTGTGGGTTGTATTTCCCTCTGTGAAATTGATTTTCAGTTCCTCAAGGCAGAGCCTGTGTGCTCCATGCGTTTGCAAAATGCCTTTACACATATCACTCCATTACTCCATAAATAATGAAAACAGGACACACCAAATCTACTGTTGATCTGACTGTGGGAGTGTTGGTGTTACCGCTTCTGAAGCCAGTGTCTGTACTCCAGCTCCTCCGCTTCTGTCCCTTTCTGAAGTGGTGTGGTTACTGCACAAAGACTTCAAGGATCACAATAGCAACACAGCTCCTGACTGAGCTGCAGTGCTGCGGGATGGGAGGAGGGACAGGGAAGAATGCAGGTGTCTCTCTCCCCTTTAGGCAAAGGTCTGACAGAATGTGACAGAGATGAAATCAGTAGAGTTCTGCAGACATTAACTCAACAACCAGTAGAATTCAATATTACTCCAGAGGGCATTCCGCGCCAAAATTTAAAAATTCTGCGCACAGTATTTTAAAATTCTGCAAGTTTTATTTGTCAAATAAATGTGGAAGCTCCAGCATGGCGTTGGGGAGCACAGCACAGAGATGGGAGATCACTGTGCAGCTCCCCTTTCTCTCCCCTCCCACCTCCCCCAGGACACGGACTCAGCGGTGAGGCTGCACTCAACCCTGACACAGCGCAAGGAACAGGCCTGCCCCACAAACACCCCCCGGCCCTGCCCCTCCATATCAGGTGTGGGCAGGCAGACTCAGCAAGGCAGGATCCAAGTGTGGAGAGGCTTAGTGGGGGGGACAGGTGTGGGTTGAGAGGGTTCTGTGTGGGGCAATCTGGATGTGGGCAGCTCAGTGTGGAATTCAGGTGTGGGGGGGATCTGGATGTACAGGGACTTGTTGGGGGTTTCTAGGTGCAACAGTAATGGGACACTGCAGGGGGGTCCAGGTGAAGGTGGCTGGGGCTCAGGTGGGGGGGGGGCTGGGTATAGAGGGGATAGAGCTCGGCAGGGGGGTCCAGGAGTGGGGAGATCTTGGGGGGATCCAGATGCTGGGGGGAGTGGGACTCAGTGGGGTGGGGCTCCAGGTGCAGCTGGTTGGGGCTCGGTAGGGTGCGGATTCAGGTGTGGGTGGCTCGTTGGGGTTGTCCAGGTGCAGGGGGAGTGGAGCTCATTGGGGGGGTTCTGGGTATGAGGGGGTCTGGATGCACAGGGGTTGGGCAGATGCAGGAGCAGCTCCCTGTATAGTGATCCCTCCCCCTGCAGCTGAGGAGCGATGGGTGCAGGAAGCGTGGGGCAGGGGCGGAGTTTGCAGAGTTTCCTACAGCTGAGGGAGAAATCTGGGGGTGGGTCTGATGTGGCCCCGGATTCTGTGCAAGGGAAGAGAAAGTCCTGTCCTCCCCAGCACAGACGGGACTAGCAGCTGAGCTCGGCGCAGGGTAGGAGCCACCAGCCATGTCTTCCGCAGTCCGCCCCCAGCACCACAGTGATTTACCTCTCTGCCGGCTGCCCTGGGCACCCGAAACATGCTGCTGGGGTGGGTTGCATGACTGCTTTTGTGGCTTCCCTTTGCTTCCCCATCTGAAAGTCATTTTTCTGCGGGGAAGCAAAGAAATCTGCGGGGCACATAAATTCTGCACATTTGCAGTGTCGTAGAATTCCCCCAAGAGTACAGTATGGAATTGAATCCTATCAAATTTGATAGTAGAGCTGGAGCTCACTTAAATTTTATAGGATCATTAAAACAACCACTTATAGAAAGGTTCTCATTTAATATTAATTCTTATAAAAAACATATAGGTTGCTTGAATACATTGAGAGCTATGGTTTTCCCATGGATCTCAGTGCAAGCATTCAGTTAGAAAGCTATACCTTCTCCCTCCTTTACCTCTCCCCCACTTTGAGGCGATGATGCTGTAGTAATTCCGTGCAGTGAACTGCTTGGAGTTTTCCTTCCCATGGGTTTTTAGTTTGATTTGTATTTGTCTCCATATGATGCACATAAAAATGCACCCAGTGTCATTTTATTTTCATATGCATCGCCATGGAGAGAGACACACACACATGTATGAGCAGAGTTAAACTATAAATCATGTGTGCACAGTAAATACATGACGTATATGTGATGAGAGTCATCTGTCTAGTTCTGTTAAGGCATTGTCACAGTGTCGTCACCAGGGCTTATCAGATCATGGTGTAAGAATGTGGAGTCCCAAATTGTGCAACATGTGTACAGTTTAAAAAAAATCAATAAATAAAGTGCCCCTGAAAAGGGGAGAGAATTATTCCAAACAGCCTTTGGATTTGGAAAGTTCTCAGCACAGCTGGGATGAGGTATGTGTCAGGTTTCTCCTCCCCCCATTGTTTCTTGAAAGAAAGAAACTCCTTCCTCTTCCACCCTCTCATGCCCCTCTGTTGGCCCTGCAATCCTGTTTAATGCCTGTTCTGATTTATTTTCTGGGCGAGGTATCCGTCCATTGGCGAATCTGGAGCTTCCCTGTGAATTTTCCATCAGAACGTCGCTGAGCCTATTTGTTTTTCCGTCTGGAATGTGGACATGCTCTGTTAAACTGCCAGCTGGATTGTCCGGGATGTTGGCTCACAGTCTGTTACAGCTTCTCTTTTTTCCTTTTCTCTCTTTCTCCCCCTCTCCCCCCAAAGTTGTGGAAAAGAGGTTCAGATTTTCCGGGTTACTGAAAGGGGAGAAGGAATGGGGAACAGCCACACCTAGTACAAGAAGTACTTTTCCTATTCTTTGTGGTTTGGAAACTCATCTCTGGAATATTGGTGTTTCCAGTCTTATTTTCTTTCTTGAGCGTAATTACAGTACCACAGGGAACATCTTTATCTCCACTAGTGGAAAGCAGTTTTCTAGGGAAGCATTCGTTGTATCTGAGTGCTTTCAAAAGAGCATTTTTTTCATTCTCTTTGAACTTTCCACTATTCTTCTTTTGCACAACTATCAAGCTGTCTCCATTTCCCACTAGCCAAGGGACACAGATGGAAATAGGTGGAACCATGCTGTTCCTGGATGTAATGGCTCAGTGCTGGTGCCAGGGGTGGATGGTTGGCTGTTTAGCACTCTCTCCCCACCACCACCAAAGGCCAAGCATGTCACTACCACAACATAGTCATCTCTCAGTGACTCAGTAGACTATATAGCGTAGCCAGCCTTCAGTTGGCATCTCTTCTCCTGTCACATACTCACTGAGTGAACTTCTCAGCTGAGAAGTACTGAGTTTACATGTACTATTTAGCTAGAGTTGAATTTTTAATTAGGGCCATCTGAACATGGGCTCGTGGGAGACCTTTGCGGTGCAACCTGACAGTCCTTATCTCTTGGGCTAAGTTTTGTGCAGAGGCTGGCTACAGCTGGCGTAATATTATTTGTATTACCATAGTACCTAGGACACCTACTTATGGTACAGGACCCTGTTGTGCTAGGGGCTGTACAAACACAGGAGCAATAGATGGTCTGTGCCCCAAGAGGCTTACAGTTGAAGTAGAGCTGCCATGGGGGAGAGGGGGCCTGTTTCAGATAGAGACAAAGGTGGCTTATGGCTCCTCTCCTCACCCCAAACCCACCTCAGCTACGCAGAGTGTACGTATGACACAGCTGAGGGTTGAGCACAATAGATGTAATTTAAAAGTGAATAAACGTTTCATTCAAGCAGATACCATCAAAATGTGTTTGTCTGCCTAGGTTAGGCCAGGATGAAGATATTTAGTTAAAAATATTTTGATGGAAAATTGGTTTTTTGCTAAAACGAAAATGTTCATAGAAAGTGCTTGCTTTTCTCAACTATTTTCAGTTTTTTTCCTTAAAAAAATAGAAACTAAATCGTTCAGTTTTTGGCTAAACATTTTTTGATTGCCAAAGGCTGAAGAGATTTTGATTTTCAGGTTTGGGGTTTTTCTATGAAATGTTGACATTTTGCACTGAAATATCAACAAAAACTAAAGTTTGTTAGTTTTTAAAAAAATGATGTAGAGGAGATAATCCCTTTCAGACCAGCTGTACTCTAAGTGTTCATTCTGTGCTCAGCACCAGGATAATGAAAGGTAGAGGCAATTTATGAAAACATGCATTAGGTTGAAATGGATTTATTTTTAATTTATAAAATGTCTCTAACGATCAAAGTTCCAGGTGCAAGTACAAAATTTAAAAAACGTATGAATTCTGAATAACTTAATCTGTTAAGAGAGCATACCTTTCTCCAAAACAAAGTGAACTCTTTCACCCCTGGTAGGAGATGTGGGAAATTCTCCTGCTAAGCACTAAAGAAATCCTAACCTTGGCTTTAAAGAATTAAATGGAATTGACTTTCTCTGATATTGAGAAAGAGGAGCACACGTTTCACTTACATATGCTTTACGCCAGTGTTTCTCAAACTGGGGCCGCCGCTTGTGTAGGGAAAGCCCCTGGCGGGCCGGGCCGGTTTGTTTACCTGCTCTGTCCGCAGGTTCGGCCGATCGCTGCTCCCACTGGTAGTGGTTCGCTGCTCCAGGCCAATGGGAACTGCTGGAAGCAGCGCGGGCCGAGGGACGTACTGGCCATCGCTTCCAGCAGCTCCCATTGGCCTGGAACGGCAAACCGCGGCCAGTGGGAGCCGCGATCGGCCGGACCTGCGGACGGAGCAGATAAACAAACCGGCCCGGCCCACCAGGGGCTTTCCCTACACAAGTGGTAGCCCCAGTTTGAGAAACACTGCTTTACGCCTACTGATTATGGGCTTAATTCTGCTCTCATTTAAGTCAATGGCAAGCCCCTTATTGAGTTCAATTGGTCCCCAAATGTATATTGTATATGTACGGGCAGCGTATACTACAGGTAAGAATATATATGTTTTACATGGCATGTCTATTTTACATAGGGTGACCAAATATCCTGTTTTTAAAGGGACAGTCCCATTTTTTGGGACTTTTCTTACATAGGCACCTATTACCCCTCACCTCCTGTCCTGTTTTTTCACAGTTGCTATCTGGCCACCCTAATTTTACACAGCCACACTTATGCCACGTAAGTTATATCTACACAGCAGCTGGGAGGGTGATTCCCAGCTTGGATAAACATACATGCGGTAGCTCTGCTTGCTAAGAATAGCCGTGTGACCACAGCATCACAAGCGGCGGCTTGGGCTAGCCCATCCGAGTATGTACCCAGGGGTTCGGACAGGATTGTACTTGTGCAGCTAGCCCAAGCTGCTGCCTGTGACGCTGTGGCCACACAGCTAATTTTAGTGCACTAGCTCAAGCAGAGCTAGCGCATGTATGTCTACCTGTGCCGGAAATCACCCTCCCACATACTGTGTAGACATACTCTGAGAAGTACTAAAAAAGGAGTTCTGAACCGTTGAATAAAATGTTAAAAACCTGCTCTGACTTTCTGGGAGGTGCATGCAGAGTGTGACACAAACACTTGTTTGTAAAGTGGGTTGCACACTTGTGGCCTGTGTAAATAAGTCAATAGCAATTAGCTGACATGACCAGTGCTGCTGTCCACAACCAATTGCAGGTGTGATGCCCTCTCTAGTGATTTTATTGAATTTGTTTTTGTACCTCATGCAGCAAAAATGAGAGGTGGATGCATGTGACTGCAAAAGAAAAGGCCAGGTTGTAACTCATTCTGGTGTTTTGTTGTTTGTTTCCCCAGAATGTGAAAATTTTCTGGAAGATGGGCTGAGTGGAGACTGTGCCTCATCGCAGGGTGTCCTGAAAAGAGGAACTGGAAGCGAGTCTGAACTCTTCCCCTTGCCTGGCGATGGGATGGATGACATCGTCTTTGGAAAGGTAGGGCTGTCTCAGAAGGCCAGTTTACTGATCCTAACGACCCTCCCCAGGCAAAACTCCCATTGATTTTGTGGGAGTTCTGCCTATATAACGACTGGTGATTAGGTAACTGGAAATAGATGAAGAGATAGGAAGGACCAGGCCCCTGGTGTACAGCTACAATGATGATCAAGAGGGACATGTTTGCTGTGGTTTTGCACAAAGTTTTATTGATTTCCAGCAGGGTTCATTAAAGGGGATAATTTGATTTTAACTTTCTGCAGATAGATCAAACGCAATCGGGAGAGTTGAAAAAGCACACTTTCTTTCAAGGTCTCTAATAAGGGTTGCACAGAGGCTATGAAATCCAGTGTTACAAACGTTACATTTTTCTCCTACAAACAGAGACCTCCTGCAAAGCACTGAACTTTCCATTGGCCTCCTCTGCACTGTATACTACGGTTTGTTGGAGAATCAGTGTGATTCCATCACTTCAGTGAGAGTATGTTAAAAGGAAGAAAACACTCACTCCGGATACTTAGGGCCAATTGAACAGTGCAGAGTGGCATGGTTACATTGCCAGGCAATAGCAATATAAGTGATAGTAATAGCTCTAGTTGTTGGGTGTTTTTAGTGACAGTGCTTCCAGTTTCCTAAGGGGCCTAAAAGTCCTGAGAGTCATCATTGGCCTGAGGAGGAGGAGGAGGGTGAAAACCAAGATACAAGATCAGACTCTTCAATGAGAGTTGCTTTGTTTCAGAAGTTGCCTTGGGTCTACTGCTTCCTGGACCAGGACAGCCTGGTATAACTTGAGAAGCAGAAACCACCCACCCTCAAATACTTCCAGCTGACCGATTTATAATGTTAAGCTGCTTGCCTTCACCCACTCTACCTGGTGAAAGGATAAGCATAGCAGGTGGCTGAAAGGGCACCTCTGGAAAAAATGCTCCAGAATGAGAAGGCTCACTAGACTCCTGTGAACAACCGTCACAGAAACCTTGGCACAAGCTCTGTGTGTATATGGTGAAGCTTAGAATTCTGCACAGATTATTATTTATCATCTGTAGCCATCCCATGCTTACCTCCTGCTCAGACATGCGTTTCCTATCTTGAGCAACTGGAAGTCGGGGCGATTTTCATGCAAACTTCCAGAGCAATGCATTTAACAAATTGAATTTCTCTTTGGTTAAATCAAGTCAGATGATGGCGAACGTTTTCCAGCACGATGGGAAAGACCACAGCCTGGACTAAGTGATCTCATGTGCTGTAAATGCACTGGAAAGTCACCCTTAGTGAATGTGGCAAGGCGTGGAGCTCACCAGCCTCGCCCTTTCCCATCTCACTCACGAAATGGGGGAGGGGGACTTGCCTCTATACAGGGCTTTCCTTCAGGCAGAGCAGAGCATTGTCTCCAGTTATCTCATTCAGGGAGTTGCATGAGTTACAGAGTTCAGCATTGCTCATTCGTTGAGTCTGATCTTAATAATGGTGTTTGTGGAAGTGGCGGGGAGGAGTTAAAGTAAATAATCGCAAAACGTTTTACATTTCCCCCCACGTTATAAGGTGTGTTTCCCAAAATATAACCACAAAAATGGAGGTTCAAAATGACATAGTAATCCAAAATGGCAGGAGTGTCACAGGGGAAAGAAACGTCAAGGTGTGGGGCCGAGGGAAGTGTGCAAGTAGGGTATATGATTCTTTAATGGCTCCATTACAGTGACAGGGCAAGTACTGAGGAAATTTTCATTTGCAGAATGGAAAGCTCTTATCAAATCAGTGTTCTGAGTCTTTCCCACTATGCGGTGGATTGCATCTAGAGATGGGTAAAACTGGAAAGATTTAGCAATGTAGTTTGAAAGCTTAGTCAAAGCTGAAATGACTTAGTTGACCTCTGCCTTACAAGCACTTTTGTCTCCCCTTTGCTAACCCTCCAAATCTAAACAGAAGGGTTCCCTTTTCCCTGCCTCTCTCCTTCCTGTATGTTTGGCACCTCTTTACTACATTTGTGCCTCCATCCATTGTATATTTATAAATACCAGAAGCTTTCATCAATACTATCAAGCTTTTAGTAGCTTTTTCTGGTTTTCATTTATCTTTTTTTCCCAGGGTCCCAATAAGAGATGGGAAAAATCAGTTTTAAAAAGAAAGTGTTTTTGAACATTCATTCAAATGAGTACTGACCTCAATCAGATGGCATTTGTGGCCCTTTTTGCTCACTTTTCACAAACGTTAGTACCAGCACGTTTTGTCCATAAAAAAGTTTTCAAAATGGAAAGTGCTGTGAATATTGACATATTTCAGAGAAATGATGGTGAAAATATGCATTTACACAAGTATTGATGTTTGAATGGCCATCTTAAAGGGTTTGTGGGTTTGGGAGTCGTCCAGCTCTGGAGCACTGCCAAGATCATGTAACTTAGGTGACCAAAGACACAGCATAAATAGAGAGCTATTCATAGCAAATCATGAGTGGTAGTCACAGCAAATAGTTTATGAATGACCCGTAATGTTCATGTAACCCATTCAGCAAATGATTCTGAATTACAAATGTTATAAAAATCAGAATCTGCTCACTGCCCTGCTTCTTGTCAGGTTTGTACATGAACAGCAAGGAGTTAAATTCATTAAGTATATCCTAGACCACTCTCCCAATTCGAGTCCCAAATGTTGATGAGTTCTGGTTTAGGAATCGAAGACTAATTTGTACAGGGGAGAGAGACTATCAAAATACAGGCAGGTCGTGCTAGACATTCTGTGATGTGCACACCAGTTCTTACGTATCAGGGTCTGTGTTGTTAAATGTATAGGAAATACTGTGGAAAAGGAGCAGGGATTAAAAAAAAATCGAGTGAAAAATCGAGTGGAAAGTGGAGAGACTGAAAAACAAATAGAGTTAATTTCAAAAAGGAGTAAAGAGAGAGAAATCCTAGTGATCAAGCACAGCATATACTGTAGGACATCTTATAGCCTGTCTTTCTTAGAGGTAGTGAGGTAGTTCTGGCCCTAGTAACTAGCACAGGCTTCCCTTTATCCAGGTCAATATTGTTTTAATTGAATTGTGGTGGAGTGTGGGGAAGAGAAATAGATTTCAACTGTGGAAGAAAAAAGTTTGTAAACTACTTGTGTGAACAACAACAACAAAACCCAAACAAACCAAAAAGCATGTGAGAGTCTCAAAACCTCGAGCACACTGATTTTGACCATTCCTTATTATTATCATTATTATTACTATTATTGTAAAGTTCCTGTTTCTCCTTTGGATGGAGTTACACTTGAACTGCTTGCTGCAGCAGCTGTTTGCTGTATGAAACATCCATTCTTCATAGCAAGAGTTACTATACAAATACTCAGTGAAGTGAAAGATAGCACTGGCTGGAAATCCAATATTAGTTGTTTAATATAGTCAGGAAACTGTAGGCAGAGCAGTCCCATGGCTATACGGAGCCTCTTGTGAATATCAGAAATTCTTGTAGCCTCCACAAGATTGTTAACGTTTCATCCATTTTAAGCCCTGCTTCTGTTCAGGGGCTCCAGAGGCTTGAGGTCCTCTGAGCAGTCAATCTCTGCGAGATGCCTGGGACTGCATCTGACTATAGGGGTGTGTGTGTGTGTATATATATGTTCTCATTACTATGTTTTTTACCCATCTCCCATATTGTTCTGATTGGCACATGCAGGGTTGAGCATCACGTGCCAAAGAAACAAGAGCTCCTCAGTTAGAGGCCCTATCATCAAAGCACGACTTGTTTCTTCAGATTCTTTGCAGTTGCTGGCATCTGAGAGTCATTTACACAATGAGCCCTAAGACTCCAGCAAAATGTCAGGCTCTATTCCAGTGTTTATTCCCATAGCCTAGTCATCCTCCTCCTCCTTCTCTAGAGAGCTATCTGTGCAGTAGGCAGATATTGCAACATTCTCTTCTGTGAATGATTAATGCTGTCTAAGGTTATTTCCTGTCTTCTGTGTAACTCTATCTTCCTGGGGCATAACTAGTATTGCTTGCTCATCTTAGCTTTTAAGCTCCCATTGACACTTAAAGTCACCATGCAGCTTGTGAACCTGCCCTTGCAGATATTATTAAAGAGATTACCTCTGTGAGCCAGAGGTCACACCGGAGACTGTATTCCTTATCTTTTTGAGCCACCGAGCAGTCTTACAATTTAAGCTGTGGTACACTGCCTACAGCTGGAAAAGGAAGAGAAATCCTATGGAGTATTTCCTAAAGCTTTCAATCTTGCACATAGTCGGGCAGTAGATAGAGAGTCGGTGATATATAGAGATATACAATGATCATTTTCATGAGTGGACAGCTTGGCCTTCACTTCCCAAAATGCTAATATGATTTAGGATTCTCCCAAAGACTTCCTCATGGGTGATGGCCCCATCTCACTAATTTTTTTACCTTCATCTATGATCTTTCTTTTCCCCAGAAGCTTCCACACTCCCCTGAACAACAGCATAAAAGAAACAAAGGAAACTGTTTGTTTCTCATTTTAATGTTAAGACCCTCCCACTTTTTGGCACATATTAAGACCATGTGACATTCTGTGGTTTTAAAATTCCCATCACATTAATTAATCTGCCTTCCTTAAAGTTCCCAGGAGCTAGCATATGATGATGTGGGGTTTCGGTTGTTTTTTTAATTAGCTAACACCTGGGAGCCATGGTCATACCTAGTTTAGTAATCACCCCCAACACTGGGTCATCAGAAGGGTTAGAATTGAGTACCTAAGTTCATTAGCTGGAAGGAATAGTAAGCAGTTGTGATCTGTGGACCTGCCGGCACAGTTTACAAGTTCCATTAACACAGATTTTTTTTTTAATCTACTGTGATGGCAAATTGCTAAATTTAAAAAAAAAAAAAAAAAAACTCTGTGTAGTGGTGATGATGAATAGCTTATGACTATCAGGCCTTGTGATATTGAGAGGTTCCAGTCTTGTGTTGTGGGTTTTGCTTTCTGTAATTTGCATCATTATCTAGGGAATTTACATGCAACTGATAAGTGGGGCTAAAAGAGGATGTTTTGTTAATGGAGTGGAGGGACATTTTCTGCATTCCAGGTTTTGAAATCTTGTACAGGTTTTTCCAACATGATGATTCCCATCTACAGATACAATCTCCTGTGCTGCACCATTTTTGTTTTTAAGTTATCATTGTTATTCCTAATGCAGCTTTTAATGGTTTTCTAATTAGCTATGCAAATTAGGGAGAGCAGACATGATGGGTCTAGCTAGCCATAGCCTGAAATATGCAATATTTCCTGGGAGATTTAACATCTTATTTACTTAAATTAATAAATCTCCATTATAATATTTGATTGAAAAGTACAGGTGCCAAGCTACACTTTCATTGTGAATCAGAGATGCCCTTTTACATTGATTGGGAATCCTGAAATAAAAACTAGTGTGTATAATTCAGTGCTCAAGAGCAATTCTGCAATTGCAGATCAATATGTGCAGCCCAGAGTCCTTGAGCATTATGATGATAATAATTCCGATACAGCATTTTTCATTTATAAATTTCAAAACATTTTACAGAGGAGGGTCAGTATCATTATCACCATTTTACAGATGGAGAAACTGAGACTCAGGGAGGTGAAGTGTCTTGTTCAAGATCGCCCATTGGCAGAGCTGGGAATAGAATCCAAGTTTCCTGTGTCCCACTCTGGTGCTGTATCCACTAGGCCACACTGTGTGCCTGTTAGTCTTGACTCTTTAAAATGCTTTGTCTTACAGGAAGGGAGTGTCTTTTTTTAAAATAGGAAATCAGTGTTATTTAGGAGAACTTTTTCTGAAGAACAGGAGGGATATTAGAGTCATGACTGTACACTGGAGGCTCGAGCAACTCGCACCTTGTTTTTTTTTTAACTAAACCAGTCCAAGAGATGAAGGCAAAACCATAAATGAACCAAATGTATAATTATAATTATAATTTTTAAATTATATTTTGATTCTATCCAGCTGTAATTTAAGAAACAAGCAAGCGCATCTATGAGGGAAAGTAATTCTGATTTTTTTTTTAAATAGGGATGTTTTTTTTTTAGTAAATTATTTCCATTTGGAAAATAAAAATCCCTTTGCCTGTTTTGGAGTTAGGCAGCAAAACACAGTAATTTGGCAATTTTGCACTACATCCATTCCATTTGCATCCAGGATTAATGTCCTTTAACTAACTGCACCCTTCTGGTGGTCAGCCAGGATGCAATCTTCCTGCCCTTCAGGGACTCTGCCTTAATTATGACAACAGCTTCCTGTGACCTGGAAAAGAGAAACAAACTATTTCCTTCTCTAATAAAGTATTGTTCTCATCATGACTACTAAGTAATTTGTCTGGATTTAGGCAGTTCAATAAACTGTCATCATGACATGCAAATGCCAAGCTATCATCAATGATGTAAAAAAAAAAAAAAATCTGTAACTTTATAAGGCTGCTTCTCCAGTTTTCTTATGTTTTTGTTTTGTTTTACCCTAAACCTCATTTAAAAAATATACTGTAATATACTTTTTTCTAACACTAATTTTGTCACTGGAGTATATTTACAGAAAAATTATCTTTCATGGCCGATATTCCTTATCATGACACACAGATCATTGAATTATTTCAACCAAAAATATATACTTACAATGGGGCGGGGGGAGTATTACTCATGCAGTCTACTCTGTGGATATTGGTTTTTGATGGATGTGATTGTGGGAAAGAATGTGGAAGCATTTCTTTAATACGTGTCTTAAAAAATGTATCTTGTACTTATTAAACTGATATGAGAAGCAGGGCTAATGCCCACCAAACTTGGCAGTAAGGTTTCTCTTTAAATTATGAAGTATTTTACCAACGACTGTTTTCAAACACCTCATACTCCCTTTTTAATTGCCATAGGAGCTTTTAGGTGATATTTTTGTTCTAGTACAAACGCAGAACAGAAACATGCAGACTCTGGAGTGGTCTAATTGACTGATTTTTGAAGAGCCCACGATGTTGGACTTTGAGGTGCCCCATAGTGGGAATGTGGTAACAGCATTTGTGTTCACGTTCATTACTGTTGTCTCTTGCATTTGTAAAGGCACATCTCTCGTCTGACAATTGAATTTGGTATTCTGTTATCTTTTTGCAAATGAGATTTGACGGACTGCAGCTCCCCGAATGCTCAGTTCCTGTTGAGTATCAGTGAACCTGCTAGTTGAAGACCGCGACAAAGCGTCCTGTGGCACCTTATAGAATAACAGATGTATTGGAGTATAAGCTTTCGTGGGTGAATACCCACTTCGTCAGTCTATAAGGTGCCACAGGACTCATTGTCGCTTTTTACAGATCCAGACTAACACAGCTACCCCTCTGATAGTTGAAGACAGTTAGCCACTGTGGCTTTGGTGAATAGTCCATTATATACAACTGGATGGATCATTCGGAATATTATTATTTTAAATGATACGGTGCAGGACTCTGCAGGAATATACATTGAAACTTCCCACATTGGCCTTGAGTCTGAAAGTGATGTCATCAACATGCTTGTGTTTTTTATACTAGCCATCGGGAACACAGGATAATCATAGACTCACTTTAGGATGTATTGTCAGAATGTGGCCGATAGCCGAATAGAGCTAGCTGGGGTTCCACTTACTGCTTTTGGAGCAAACTAAACTCAAGATTACAGTCTGAATAAAGACCCGTCCCACAAGGTGGCCAATCCTGTGGAACAGTATTTTTCAATTATAGTTGGATTTGACAAATGCTGAAACTCCTGACATTAACTTTTTGATAAATGGAAGGTGGTTGGGGGAGGGGTCTAATCATTTTGTGTGTGTTTGTTTTATGCTACTGACTAATGTTCAGTTTGTGCTGTATGGTGCAGTGGAACAGTGTGTTAGCCTTTTTGCTGTAATGACTGGAAGCTACAAATCTGGTTCAGCTCACACAAAGAGGACTGAGTTTGCGGACTGAAGTCATATGACCTAGCAATCATCTGTGCCCATCATTTAAACGACATAAGTATATGGCAAGCTTACAAATCTTTGCCTGGCAAAAGGCTTTAGGACTGGAAATGCAGGAGAAGCTACATTGTAGGGTTACGGTGCATTGACAGAACTGTGAGAAGGACATTAATAGAATAGCAGGAAGTGCTGTAGTGTCAGGATTGGATTGCGTTGGCAGAACTGAGTAGGGAGCCCAACTTTACAGTAGCAGGATGAGTTATTGGGTAGGATAAGACAAGGGAGCAAAGTTGTAGAGGGTGACTTGTGCAAATAAGAAGGAACAGGCCTAGCTTTTGTGATGACTGGCTCTGGCCAGAGCTGTCAGTTGAGATCTCTCTTGGCTAAGGTTCATGTTTTTACTTTTGCTGTAACAGCCTGAAGAGGAACAGTCTGCTTGCGATGTCACCAGTTCCAGCTCATCGGCAGACGACACAGTCTCTTTGGAGAGGAATTCCTCTCTTGGGAGTGACATATCCCTTCCACATGCTCTAAACCTCAACAGGCCTAAGGAGAGGCACACTCTGGATGGAAACGGCATTGACATGGGAGCCGCAGGGGGACGGGAGAGTGAACTTGGTGGCTCGGGCGAGATGGAAGAAGAGATGGACAGTATTACAGAAGTGCCTACCCACTCCTCTGTCTTAAGAAACTCCATGCGACCACTGTCACCATTCCGACGGCACAGCTGGGGGCCGGGGAAGAATGCTGCCAATGAGGCAGAAATCAATCACAGGAGGTGAGTGAAAAAGGCTGTTTAAAGCTGTTTACACGCACATAAGCACATGCATGTGGGCTTTGCGACTGGCATTTGAAGGATGTGCAAAAACACGGAAAAGTGAGGTCATTCCATGAACTCTGAGGAGAGAAAGAGAGAGAACCACTTACTACAAAAACAAACAAACTAATCTTCCTGGTTTTAATTACATGTTGAATTAAAAGTACTTTATGTCTACAATATATTTTAGCTTTTCAGAGGACTTAGGTCCTTATCTAAAGCCCATTGAAGTGAATGGAAACACCTTGGACCAGTTCTTAATGTAAATTATCACCACCTGTTCCTATGCAGAGGGTTTTGCTAAAGGAAAGGTTATCTGAGTTAAATCTAGGTGACCACAGAATAAACACAGCCACTATAAATCAGTAGCGTTCTCACATTAAGGTGTTGTGTGGGCTGTAAGCCTTTAGTCTTGGGACTGGGGTGGATGGGTTCCAATTTGACTCCTGATAGAATTGCAGTATTGAATGAAGTGGACAGACCCTATACACCCTATGCCTAGGATGTTCTTCCAGTTTCCCCCTCTGCTCTCTCTCCTTTCAGAAAAGACTAGGGAACACCACAAAGGCAAGGCTTGCCATGTACCTCTTTACATCAACTACTGTGAAAAGAAATAATGTTGTTTTCCAGAACCACTCTTCCCTTGATCTCCAGTTGCAGAAAAATTCCACCCATAAAGTAACTGATTAGGAGTAAGCCCTCTGCATTCTGAGTAACTATCAAGTTCTCTGACTCCCTTTGTACCCAGCATGTTCTTACGCACATCAGCCTTTCTTCATTTGCACCGCACAAAAGTTACTCTAGTTTTACATAGTCATTTAAGATCCTGGTCCTGTTGAAACCAAGTGAGTTTGGCCGTTGATTTAAATAGGACCAACATCCCTTTAGAGCCAGGGTGGTCAAAGTTTGTTCCCTAAGTCACATATATTGTATACCACTCTCATCTGCAATATGGATGTGTGGCTTGTTGAAGACTGCAGGTCCATCAGGAGTCAAATTGGAACACATCCAGTTGACTGCTGGGAGTTGTTGTTTTCATGGGTCACAGCTCCGTATTAACAAGTAACATGGCCAGAGTCGTCTGCATTATATTAAAACCAATAGTTGTCCTTTGGTTCCTGGTAAATTGCCAGAGGGCAGAGTTTGGTGACCCCAATTTAGAGATATTAGTCACCCTTTAATGCATGTGCATAAATCCCCTTGACATTTCTAGATGTTATTTTCATGCACTGAAGAGAAATTATAGATCCTTAAATTATAAGTTTTATTTCCTCTAAAGCTAAACTTGAGAAACCATTCGGTACTCGGAAAGTAATATGCATTGTTTGTTTTGTTACATGACTTTGTCACCCCTTTCTGGACTTCTTTGCAGGTCCCGGGATGACACACAAATAAATAAAATCACACCGATATTTTAAAACCGCAAGAGAGGCAACTTCAGAGATCAAAGCCAGTTTATGACAGACTGAGTCTATAAGCTCATAAATTAATTTAGAAAGATTTATTTTTTATGTACTGATCTTATTATGTAAGGATTTCTGAGGGTAATAAACTCTGCATATTTGGCAATTACAGCTAATGCTAAGCAGATGGAGTTAAAAACTTCTGAATCAGAGGTTGGATGGCACAGGTTGGATGTTTGTGACATGGGAAAATATTCCTACTGTAAATGATATATTCTTTTTTAAGTAAAGAAACAGAGAAATTATTTTCATATTTTCACGTACACAGCCACCAATAGACAAGGATGTACATCTGGCTGAAAGGTGATTTGCAAAGGCAAAACCAGTTGAGGTTTTGCACCTTTTTGCTTATTTATGATGCATAAAGGCCTGGAAATTAAGTTTTATTCAAACCCAAATCTCTATATGGTTGATTGTTTTTTGCTAATAACTATTTAACTAGAATATTTTTGTTGGGATTTAACTCCTCCATCCCTTCAGTTAAGGGCTGAGGGCCTGATCCAATTCCATTCAAGTCAAAGGTAGTCTTTCCATTGACTACAATGAAAGCTGGACCAGGCCCTGAGAGAGCTGCCCATGTGAGACTCTACCCTACCCCATAGGTCCTATAGCAAAAGCAGGGAATAACAGATTTGATATTCTCTATATTTCTATGGTAAAAAAATTAGTGGAGCATAATCTTTTTATTAAAAAGAAGAAAAAGACAAAACCTGTTGAGCATCTTAAATATCTTTTAAATATGGCTTTTAAACCATTTTTTTCCTTTATAAATCTCATGAAGAATACTTATAAGGCTCCAATGGAGCATGCTTATCCTTGGTAATTCTTAGAGTTCATACTGAGTTTTATACATCTCACATGGGGTGGATTGCAGCTCATATAGACATACTCTGCTAACGTACCTAGTTATTTGGCTCAGGTACAGGTACTGGAGCAGTACAGGGTTCATGGTGGACTGTGCAAGGCCACTTGGAACCCAGGGCTAGCCCACACTGGAATCGTGCTACCATGCGTCACTGCTCCTGTGTCCAAGTTAGCTGGATTATAGCTGGCTCGAGGATGTCTCTGTGAACTGCAGTCGCGCACCATGTTTTCAGCATTGCCATGCCTTTAGATTGCCACTAGTTGCCATGTTTTTAATGCCCTTTTGAAGGAAAGAAAAAAATAGATTTTTCACTGATGGTCCTTTAGACTTCGTCTACACTACCACATAGAGCTGTTGCCAGTGAGGGTTGCTAACAATGCCTGCTGTTGAACTGGCACTGACTAGTTTGTCCTTGTCTACACATACAGCCGACCCGTGACTGGCACCTGCTTATATGCAACCATTGTCAGTGGCCATTATACTTTGTTCGGTAACAAGGCCTTACTGTGAAATAGAGGGAGAAAGATAACTTCATAGAAGACACATTTCTCCCTTAAGTGCTATAGTTTTTATACTCCCCTTTTCATTCCTTCCTTCTGCTGTTTGTTTTTTGGGGGGGAAGGACGGGTGGGAGGAATGGGTGTTTTCCCTTCAGCTGTCATTTGTTCATTTTGTTCCATTCTCATCTCTGACCGCTTTCCATGATTCATTTTCAGTTCAATGCGAGTTCTGGGGGATGGTATAAGGAAGCCTCCCATTCATAGGAGAAGGTACAGAGCCAACTAACTTGACTAACCATTTTGCATTTGAATGTCTACTAACTTCATACTCTCATATTAGTTCATCCAGTTTAGATTCAGTACTTCTTGGAACATGTGTCTTATACGGAGACACGCATCCGATTTCATCGCTCTCACCCTTAGCCTGACACAGCCCGGTTTTTACAACCTTCAGTGCAAGCTTGCAAAGTCATTCTTTCTAGGGCTTTTAGTTGATGGGGTGGGTTGAAGGATATTGGACATTGCGGATTGGAAGCATCCAACAAAATAATATATTTAGGACTGGAGGTTGAATTTAAATGGGCAAGGAATTGTTTATTTGTCTGTTCGCCTTAATTCTTGTTTAAAATGTATCAAAATCCCTAGATCTCCAGGATAGGCATGTAGGAACATATTTGCAAATAGTACAGAGGATACATAATACACTTGGTATACCTGCAGCAGCTGATTTGCTTTAATTTGAACTTTATGGGGTTTTTTTTTAACCCTGCCTCTTAAAAGCTGGAAAATAAGCATGATTTTCAAACCAGTTTTTGTCCCTTTCTATCTGGCAAACATTTATGATTTCTTATCCTCCCCATACATATTTATTTATATATAAATAAAATAAGGATAAGGCAAACTTACCCCTATTTTATTGTTGAAGCATCAGCATGATTAATTTATGTGAGCAGCAATGTTTATAGCTCAGGAAAGAGATTTTTTAAAAAAAACCTGAATGCTGGTTCTACAGAAACACTACGTAGACCCTACGAAAATAGTTGCTGCTATTACTGTTAGAATTCTTGGAGGTGCAGTAGAGGATCCTTCCTTCGCCCTCCATGGCCCCGGTTTTATGGGGAGTTTTGTTGTTGTTTTTGACCTTGTCCTCCCTGCCCCACCCCAGACCCATTAATTCCTTTGACGTACCCACTTCTCTGAAATTTTACTTATGATTGTGTCATTGTTGTGTCATTGTTTTGACTGGAGAGACTAAGTACCTGCTACGTTGGTTCACTTCATGTGCCATGACACTCATTCTGCTACTGCCACAGAACATGGATCTCTTGTGGATAGTTGTTTCCTAAGGCCTTGTCTATAGTAAAGGGGTTCAGCAAAATATTCCCACTAGTGGTATAACTGATTCAGTTGCACCAGTGAGAATTTTTTTTTCTACATGATCTTTGGCAGTAAACACAGCTCCTGGTTTTCTTCCTAGTTGTGTAGAGTGAAGCGTTAGCCCTTGACAAGCCTTTGACACGGCCGTTGACCTTGACTCTCAACTCCACAGAAGCATGCGCTCTCACACCTGGCTGTAACATGCAAAAACCTAAATTCTCAAGCACGGCCTCAAGGAATTAGTGTTCTATGTGCCTTCTACGGTGTCTTCCTTTACAGTGCAACACAGACTGCACAGGCCTCAGTGAAGTACTTAGCATCTCCAATTTTGATATTATAGCCTCTGAGAAGAGCAAGTGAAAGGGGAAATAGTGATATTTCCTCTGTGCTTCCCCCTGAGGCTCTCAATCCAGTATCTTCATGCGTGCTCACACCTACTGATATCCTTATTACCTTCATTAATATACTAGACTTCAGGTTATTGTTACGCCCACCCTTAATGAAACGCTATGGACTCCATTCGGCTCAGACTCCACACTGCTCTGTACTTTGTAAGGTGGCATGCAAGGATTGCCTTGTGAGCATATGCATGCTAACTGCTTTTTACCAGCTGCACAGTGATAGTCACCTGACTTCTACAGAGGAGCTTGGGGTCCTTATGCTAATCGTAAAGAGAATGTGTCTCAAGTTGGCCACTTAATATCACTACTTACCTTTGCAATTTAGGTCAGATTCTTTAGTCAATGTACTCTCATT